ATTATTGAATAAATGTTGAAAAAAAAGTTTCAACTTGTCGGTGGTAGTGAGGGTAGTGTGGAATTGAAAAATAAATTATTGAATAAATGTTGAAAAAAAAGTTGAAAAAAAGAGGAAACAGACCCAAAAAAGAGGAAACCGATCATCAAACTGAGAATTTAAAACTTTTTTTGAAAACCGGAAACGGACCCAAAAAATGAGGAAACGGACCCAAAAAAAAAGAGGAAACCGATCAACAAACTGAGAATTTAAAACTTTTTTGAAAACCGGAAACGGACCCAAAAAATGAGGAATCTGACCCAAAAAAAGGAGAAACCAATCAACAAACTGAAAATTTAAAACTTTTTTGGAAAACCGTAAACGGACCGAAAAAAAGAAACCGATCAACAAACTGAGTATTTTTTTCTTTTACTGTATTACTAATGTAGTTTTAAAAAAAAAATAGTTTGAAGTTAAGTTGAGCTCCCCCCACCCCCATTATTTTGCATTGTATTGTAAAATTTTGTTTGCGCTGTATTTTAGAATTTTTTTCTTTTACTGTATTATTAATGTAGTTTAAAAAAATAGTTGAAAGTTGAGTTGAGCTCCCCACCCCTTGTACCATCAGGATTGTAACATGTTTATGTATAATGTATTAAGTAAAGTATGAAATTTTTCAGAGTAACCATGTTTGGGTTTAGTCCGCCCCCCCCCCTTATTTTATAAAATGGACTGGATTTATAATAAATCATCTACATATAAATTTGGCTTGTCTGTCTGTTTGTCTGTTTTAATGTTTGTTTGTTTGTTTGTTTGTATCCAATAAACGTCAAAACGGCTGAACCGATCGGGCCCAAATTTTTTGTGGGACCTCACGTGACCACAGGGAAGGTTTATGAATTATCAAAATTTCAAATATTTGTCTCCATCAAAATTCGATCTTCATTGAATTTTTGAAAATTTTGAAAATCCACGAATTTTTTTGTGAAAATCCGCAAATTATTTTTGTTTTGTTTTACGATGTACACTAAGAGAATATGTTCACAATTAATTTAGAAGATGGGCGCGAAGCGCCCTCTAAGGCTAGTTTATTTATATAATAATAATCCTCACTCTAGCCTTCAAACGTAAGTAATGTTAAAGGGAGTGTTCGCGAAAAATGAAAGGGTGTATAGGGTTAATGCGATAAAAAAATGCTTTTGATCGCTACTAATCTTACTTCTATCTGTTGCTTCTATAAGGAGAAAATTGTTAAAGACGTCTCATACCGAATAACTTAGCGTCCATACAAATTGAGAAAATTGCAACATACGACTAGACCGTAAAAACATCAATTTAATTCCAAACAAATCATTCAGATATTACAACCTATAGTCATCGATTATCTTTCGCCACATTTGTATATCTATATTTAAATTTGGCTTGTCTGTCTGTTTTTTTGTATCCAATAAACGTCAAAACGGCTGAACCGATCGGGCCCAATTTTTTTGTGGGACATCACATGACCACAGGGAAGGTTTATGGCCAATCAGACTTTAAATATGTAAGCTTAAAATATTTTTATCTTAAATTATTTTTTATTTGTTTTAAAATTTTTTTAAAGAATACGTGAAAAAAAAACATACAAATGCGCGAAAAAAAAATACAAAATTTGCGAAATTATCTAATGCCTGAAATCTATTGTGTAAAAATATGCCTAAGAGAAAGGGTGTCCAGATTGGAAGAAAGTCTAAAAAATCTTGATTGGCAGAACTAAACAGATTAAATGAAACTAAAGAAGAAGCGGAATGTAGGTAAATATCAGGAGTATTATTAATTAAATTGAACTAAACTCATTACAAAGCGTAAGCAAAATTGTTGGATGATTTCAACTGAATAAAAGTTTTAACTGGAACATGTATCAATCGCTTTTTATTGAAAAATTTAAACCATTTCTATTTAAAATATTAAACAGATTGATTTAGGACTGTTTATCTTTTAGTGGTATGTTTATTTTTTATGTTTATAGACGTGAACAAGAACGTGTTCGTGCATTTACAAATAGAGAGAATGAATCCACTGAATCTACACAACAAAGGTTTGTTTATCTTTGAATGTTATATGCTTATCTTTATGTCAACGAAAATGTTTTTGTTTATTTCTCTTTCAATAATAATTTTTTTTATGTTCATAGACGTAAACAAGATCGTGTTCGTGCATCTACAAACAGAGAGAATGAATCCATTGAATCTACACAACAAAGGTTTGTTTATCTTTGAATGTTATATGCTTATCTTTATGTTAACAAAAATGTTTTTGTTTATTTCTCTTTCAATAAAATTTTTTTTTTGTTCATAGACGTGAACAAGATCGTGTTCGTGCATCTACAAATAGAGAGAATGAATCCATTGAATCTACACAACAAAGGTTTGTTTATCTTTGAATGTTATATGCTTTTTTTATGCTAACAAAATTTTTTTTGTTTATTTCTCTTTCAATAATATTTTTTTTATGTTCATAGACGTGAACAAGAGCGTGTTCGTGCATCTACAAATAGAGAGAATGAATCCACTGAATCTACACAAAAAAGGTTTGTTTATCTTTGAATGTCATATGCTTATCTTTATGCTAACAAAAATGTTATTGTTTATTTCTCTTTCAATAATATTTTTTTATGTTCATGGACGTGAACAAGAGCGTGTTCGTGCATCAATAAACAGAGAGAATGAATCCACTGAATCTACACAACAAAGATTTGTTTATCTTTGAATGTTATATGCTTATCTTTATGCTAACAAAAATGTTTTTGTTTATTTCTCTTTCAATAATATTTTTTTATGCTCATAGACGTGAACAAGAGCGTGTTCGTGCATCAATAAACAGAGATAACGAATCAAGTGAATCTAGACAACAAAGGTATGTTTATATACTTATCCTTAGGTTAATGCAAATTTTTATGTTTCTTTGCATTTTAATATTGTTATCATTAATTTTTCTGTATATATAGACGTGGACAGGACCGAGTAAGAGAATCTGTGACCAGAGCAAACGAATTTAGCGAATATACACAACAAAGGTATGTGGCATCTTTTGCAAAGAAATCAACTCATGTTAAATATTCATGTTTTTATTTGTACTTATGATATTTGATCTTACAAAATTCATGATTTAAAATATCGGGTTGCACAGTTGTGATAAATAAATTTGATTTTGTGGCTAGAACTCATTTTTTTAAAATTATCTTTTGTAAAAATAAAAGTATTACTTATCTGTAAACATTTCACATCAGTTAATTTCTTTTCTTGAACGTAATATATATGGGGTTATTTTACATTTCTTAATATTCATTTTTAGGAGGTTACAAGATCGGCAAAGACAAGTTTCTAATCCTATCAGGAGATGTACTGAAGTCAAAGGAAAAAATTGCAACTAAAACTTCTGATATATTCAATGGAAATCTTATCATATCTCCATTATTCCTGTCATCTGATGCTATTGGTAAGCAAGATGTAGAATGTCAACATTGTGGAGCCCTCAGATTCAAAGCAGAACATGATGGAATATGTTGTGGTGTTGGTAATGTTAACCTTCCCTTATTTCCTCAACCACCACAACCACTTTTTGATTTGTGGATATCTCAATCTCAAGAGGCTAAATTGTTCAGAGAAAACTGTCGATCTATAAATAATGCTGTGTGTCTCTCAAGTTTAGTTGTTAAGCAAAAGATCTTTGCAAACTTTTCTCCTTCAGTTATTTTTCATGGAAAGGTTGTCCAACTCTTTGGTCCTCTTCAACATGAACCTGATGAATCCCCTTGCTATGCTCAACTTTACATTCTTGATACAGATATGCAGACAACAATTTGATTCAAAAACATGAATATCAATCCCAACATGTCAATGAATCAGCAACAATTGATGAGAACTATACTGGAATCAGTGCAAAGGGTTATTCATTTAAATAATCCATTTGTAAAGGAGTTTAAACAGATCTTAGAAATTCCACAAGATCAGTTGGCTAATGGAAGAATAGTTATAAGTGCTTCATCTCGACCTAAAGGAGCACATCCAAGAGTTTACAATGATCAAAGTAATCTGAAGGAATTATGAATTGTTACAAATGAACAACCAGGTTTTAATGATTTGGTTGTTCAGAGACAAGGTGGTGATGGTTTGAAAATAATCTCTGACAAAAATTCAACTGCTATGCCATTGCATTTCACTCTTCTCTTCCCATTGGGCACCCATGGCTGGAATTTGGAACTTTGTCAAGCAAATGGGTTGAAAAGGGTAACACCTAGAGAATTTTTTGCATTCCACTTAAATAAGAGAATTTCTGAATATTTTCTTTTCCAAGCTGGTCGATTATTTTAAGAGTGGATCTTAATGGGATGGATTACATGTGAAAACCAGAAACTTGCCTATCTCAACCATAATCAAGGAGCACTAAGGGCTGATACATATAGAAATGTTCAGGACCATATCAGACAATTAAATGATCCAGCTTCTGATTCCCTTTATCATAATGAACATTAAAACTCTATTGGTAGAAAGATACTTCCTAGCTCTTTCATTGGAAGTCCTCGCTGGTATAACAGTAAATTCCAAGATGGTATGGCTATTGTTAGACATTTTGGAAAGCCAACACTATTTAACACAATGACCGCTAATCCGAACTGGCTGGAAATTAAAGAGGGACTCTCCCTTGGACAATATCCACAAGATCGTCCTGATTTGGTTGCAAGAGTTTATAGGTTGAAAAAAGACCAGCTTTTGAATGATATAATCAAAGGTAGCATTTTTGGAACTGTAGTTGCTTATCTGTGGGTGATAGAATTCCAGAAGCGTGGTCTTCCTCATATTCATATCTTGATCATTTTATCAAAAGAACATGCTCCAGAAACAGCTAATGATATAGATGAAATTATTTGAGCAGAATTGCCCCCAGATCCATTAGAACCAGAAATCACAGCAGAACAGAGCATGAATCGTAAGCCTCTCTGTGATGCTGTGACATCTCACATGATTCATGGTCCCTGTGGTATTCTAAACCAAAAATGTGTCTGCATGGAAGGTGGAAAGTGTACAAAGAGGTTTCCAAAACCTTTAATAATAAAACTTCTGTGGATGAAAGCAACAGTCATCCAATTTACAGGCGCCGCTCACCACAAGATGGAGGTAGAAATTTTCAAAAGAATCAACATGTCATTAATAATTCTTGGGTTGTTCCATATAACCCTTATTTAACAACAAGATATGACTGTCATATAAATGTGGAAAGCTGTGCGTCTGTATTGGCTACTAAGTATTTGTACAAATATGTAACTAAAGGTCCAGACAGAGCCATGGTCCGTCCTGAGGTGGACCATCCACAAAATGAAATCAGTGATTACGAAGATATGCGATCTTTAGGTTTAAGTAAGGCTGCATGGCATTTGTTCAAATTTTGGATATCAGAGAATAAGCCCCCAGTTCAAGTTCTCAGATTACATCTTAAAGATGAACAGAATATTGTCTTCAATCATGGTGAAGAAGAGCTTGGGCTGGAACAAGGGAGACTGACAGAACTAACAGCATTTTTTTTGCTTAATAATCAACAAAAGGTTTTATAACAGGAAGCTTTTCAAGCATCCAATATGCCCCGATATGTTGACATTCCAACCAGTTATGTGTATCAGAAGAAAGAAAAGAAATGGTCACCCCGTCAGCACGGTTTTTCCATTGGAAGAGTACATACTGTTAATCCCTTGGCTAGAGATGTATTTTACCTAAGAATTCTCCTCCATAGTGATCATTGCAGAGGTAAAACAAGTTTTGATGATATGATGACCATTGATGCCAGGAAGTTTGATAGCTATCAGGACATTTGCAGAGAACTTGGTTTACTAAATGATGATGAAGAATGGTCCTCAATACTAACAGAGGCTGCACAAAATGATTTTTGATTGGCAAATACGAGCCCTGTATGTGATAATTTTACTCTTTTGTCAACCCTCCAACCCTGTAAAACTATTTGATGAATTCTGGATGGACTGGACTGAAGATTTTAAGAGAAAAGGTGAGAGGAGAGGAATGATTTTTACAGAGGAAAATCTTAAAACCATGGTTAGATTGGATGTTCAAGTGAGATTGAAATCCCATGAAAAAGATTTAATAGATTTTGGTTTACCTCTTATGTCTGAAACTGAAAAAAAATACAGTTGTTGGACTGGTTAACATAGAAGAGACTGTTATAAGAGAAGAAATTGATTATGATCTATCATCTCTGAGGAATATTGTATCATGTACCCAGTATCGATTATGATCTATCATCTCTGAGGAATATTGTTCAAGAAACATATCAACAAATCACAAATGACCAGCGTGAGATTTTTGATAAGGTTAGAATTATAGTCTATCTAATGGCTTTTTTTTGTATAATGTTCATTTTGTCATCTGTCTCTTTCTTTTCTAAATTCTAAATTGGCTAAATTATCAAACTATTGTATAAAATGCTAACAATTGTGCAAAGAAATTTTGAATGTATCAATTTGTTTCTCTACGACAAGATTTTGTACTTTGAAATCTAAACAGTTTCTATTTATTACACTTCTACTTTTTACATTTTTTATAAAATAAAAACAGTTTTTTAAGCAAAGAATACCCTTTTTTAATTTATCGAACTGTCCTTAGCCATCTAGATATGTTAAAATAATAAGATTATTAAAAAACAATCAGTATTTTATATTTCTTTCAGGTTATGAGCGCAGTGTCACAACAAATATCCTTACAATTATTCATTTCTGCAAGGGGAGGTTGTGGCAAAACATTCCTGTTAAATGCAATACTTGACGCAGTTAGATGTAAAGAAGATGGTGGATGTATTGCTCTTGCAATGGCTTCTACTGGTATTGCTGCTCAGCTTCTACATCTTGGAAGAACTATTCATTCCAGGTTAAAAGCTCCTCTACATCCTACTAAAGACTCAACTTTAAGCATAACTACTCAAAGTAGTCTTGGTAATCTGGTGAAAATGGCAAAACTTCTTCTGATAGATGAAACTACAATGCTTCATAGGTTTCAAATTGAAGCACTTGATCGGTCCCTTCAAGATATTATGAACAATCAGTCATCTTTTGGAGGAAAGATTATAATCTTAGCTGGTGACTTTCGCCAGTGTTTGCCAGTTATTAAATGGGGCAACCAAGCACAAGTAGTCCAAGCTTGCCTAAATAAATCTCCATTATGGACCTGTTTTGAAGTTGAAAGCCTCAAGGAGAACATGAGAGTAAGAGCAGTAGGCGATGCTACTCTAGAATTATTTGATGCATGGACAGTGAAGGTTGGAGAAGGTACTACTAATGATGGTAAAGGGATAGTTAAATTATCATCAGATAATATATCTATTATCAACTCTAACTCGGTCGAGAAGAGCATGAAGGAATTCTGC